TTTGTTGAGATCCACATCAACCATCTCGAAACTCAAGGATTTACTTTACTTTCTCGAGTTATCCAATTTGGAAGGCGACAGGCTCGCCTGAGCGAACTTAGTTAGGTGGATTCTTCAAGAGTGATCCACTTCTTATTGTTGAGGCATACCACCTTCCTGGTATGCAAGACTGGCCGGTCGGGCAAGCTGCATGTGGTCTCGGGTCATCCTAAGTATATCCTGCGGGGCCACATCAGCTTTTCTGCCATCCAAAGGATACCATTGTTATTTGTGCTTTTCCTCAATCAATCCCCACTCTTAAAAAAAGAAAATAGTACTTTAATCTTCGTGGAGCCTCCTCCAACGTTCAAAACTAAACTCCCATAACTCATGTGTGGCTCTCTTTTCTTATCCCTTCCCCAACTCCACTCCATAACTCACAAGACAAATCCCAAACCAAAACAGAGCTCACTGAACACCCAGTCATTATCATGTCAGAAGCAGAGCATTCACACTATGAAACACAAACAGAATCACCTGAGCAGCAGCTGAGATCCGACACTGTTAGATCCCTCCATGAAACAATAGATCGAGAATGGAGCGCGCTTCAGCGCACGGCATGCCAGACGGCGGCGGGGAGAGCTCTATGGAGCCATGTGGTGCATGACCCGGTGGCCGGCGTACTCGCCGGCGACAGCTTCCTCAGAAGCCTGAGGGAGAAGATGAGGAACGATAAGCTTAACAATGCGCGGGAAGTTTCGGGGGTGATATTGGCGATCAGGACACTCTGGTTCGATGCCAAGATCGAAGCTGCAATCAGATCGTTTGGAGAAGGTGAAGCACAGGTTGTTCTGCTTGGCGCAGGTGCGTGAATCTGTCACACTGTTAAGTGTTCATTAGCTGCAGAGTTCCCCTATTACCCCATAAAAGAATAACATAAGAATTGCGGGGTATATATGTAAATTTTCCAAGAATAAAATACAAAAAAAAAAAAAATCAAGATTTAGTTACATGCCACTAAGGTCCTATGTATTTACATATCTAATATCTAAACTTTAATTTTTAAGGGCATGTCACCTTGTAGATGGGCTGAGATTAGAATGATTAGGTGGATGAGAGACAAAATGCGAAATGAATATATCCGTGACAGATGAATATATCCGTGACAGGGTTGGTGTAGCTCCAGTGACGGACAAAATTAGAAAGGATTGTCTTAGATGATTTGGTCACATTAAACATCGACCATCTGATGAACCCATTAGGAGTGTGGATGTTTTCGATTCGACTTATGTTAAGAAAGGCAGAGATAGACCTAGGAAGACTTGGGCTTATTGTATAAAAAATGATCTTAATTTATTAGAACAAAATGAAAATATGAGACTAAATAGGACGTGATGGAGAAAAAGGATACATGTCGCTTTACCCACGTAGTGGGATTAACGCTTTGTTGTCATTGTTGTTGTATGTCACCATGTCTATGCATCAAAACTGTTTCACTTTTTTAAGAAATTAACATAATGATATTTTTTATTTGATGCATAAAATTTAGGGTGTAGAAATACAAAATGCAGATTTCAAGGTGTTAGACATGTAGATTTATAAGTGGGTTATATGTATATAAATGACCAAAAAAAATTAACATTTACATAAAATCATAATCTCAGACTTTGTAATTGGAATCTATACCCAAATTTTGCATTTTTTGAAAACTTCTTCTCCATGCATTGACTGCTTATGAAAGTGAATTGCTCTGCAGGTATGGATGCAAGAGCCTACAGGCTGAACTGCCTGAACGAAAGCCATGTATTCGAATTAGACTTTGCTGAGCTACTGCAAGTAAAAGCATCACTTTTAAAGGAAGCAATGGGCTCTGCTGAGCAGCAGAAAAAGGCAATGAAAGCCAAGTCTGTGATAAGTGTGGCCTCAGATATAAGAGATGGAAACTGGCTTGAAAAGTTGCAAGTTTGCGGCGGCTTCGCGCGGGACAAGAGTACGGTGTGGGTGCTTGAAGGCATACTGTATTACCTCCCTCACCTCAATGCCATGGAAGTGCTTCGTACCATTGCAGCCAACAGTTTGCTCGGAAAGACTGTTCTTTTGGCTGACTTCATGAATGAATCATCAGCCTCACTCTCCAATTCTACTTACCACTTTTATAGTGATTGGCCAGACCAGTTGCTGGAAGCTCTTGGGTTTCACAATATAAATCTTTCGCAGATCGGCGATCCTGATGCAAATTTTGGCTTGCTTCATGATCCCCAGAATTTGTTCAATAAGCTCAGGAGCTTGCCGAGATCGGTGAAGGTAAATCCGGAGGATGGGACTCCCTGTTGTCGGCTTTATCTCGTGGAAGCTTCAGGGTTCCCTAAGGAATGAAGCTAGTTTCAGTGAATATATATATATATATATATATAGCGGTTAGTAGGAATGCTATGCTTCCAGATATTCTGGTAGCAGAAGAGTATATATAGAACAACATAGATATCATGATGTTTGACATTTGTAATAAGAGATTTGAGAAGAAATATCAATATCTTTCAAAGTGCCTAATGATTCAGCCAATGCTTAAAAGGCAATCAATATTTCAGTAATTCGTTATTTCAAGTATCTTTATATTATGTTGGTATCAGCTAATTTAGTTTATTAAGGGGCCACAAAAATAAGAGTGATGTAAATTTTGTTTAAATCTGTTAACATACCGCCTCTGAGTCTTTTCACATGATGATTGTATCGCACGCCTGCGAGCATCCATAAGAAGCAGAACTCAGCTCATCATATAGCTCTTCTCTTGTTTATAGGGTGTCTACTCAGGTTCATAAGCCATGCAACAAGTTTGTTACCCAAAATCATGTAAAACTCTACTAGACCCATGTTCTTGTACCTTCATCTGTTTGTCAGGTAAGTTTGTATGTTATTTTCAAGTTGATCACATACTTGTTATGTCATGTTCAACTTGCCACATTATAGTACAAAATAAGTTTTAGTAGCATTGGGTAAAACTAATGACTAACCTATCATATCTAAATGTGAAACTATTACTGTATGCAGTTAGAAGGAAATGGGTAAAATATTTGAGTTGATAAAAATAGGAGTAACCTCTGGAACAAGAGCATGTGTTTAGAAGCAGATTTATTTAAAGACAAACTAAACCCTGAAAATTAGATAATCACTTTATTAATTTTATTTAAAAGGCAATGTTATGACAAATAATGATAACGAGTAAAACAGGAGTAATGATAAAGACTAACTAGTATAAGAAAAAGTAAATTCAAAAATATAAAGCATGAAGATAAAGGATGAACCAGCCAACAACACTAGAAAACAACAAAGGAGAAAAAAGAACTCATTTGAACCACCTCGCTTGAAGTTTGGTGAAAATAGCATAGGAGATATATTTGTTTGGATTCTGGCTCCATTTTGGTAAATAAAATTTGAAATTTCTTATCCACTACAATGTTGTCATGCATTGTGCCTCCATCAAAACACTTAAGAAGTAGAGCATCACAGTTAACCATAAACCATGTCTACTAAAAGAGGGAGAGGAGGAACATCCATAATCAGCAAAATAAATTCCAACGTCTCACTTGCCTAAGATGTGTTGGGTAATGTGGAAACCCGGTCCATCAAAAATCTCACCTACCCGCACACATACTTTCTCACCTACCGCTCACCTACCACATCCCACCTACTTTCTCACCTACCGCTCACCTACCGGTTTCTATAAATAGCCTCTTTTAGCTTAAAGAAGATGCCAAGTCAAGCAAGGCCAAGCCAAGTACTCTTGAAAGCTAAGAGAAAGAGAGAAAGAGAGAGGGAGAGGAAGAGAGAGAAGAAAATATAGATTTTCTTGTAATTGTCGAGTCGCTCGACGGTGTAATTCCTCGAAAAAATAAAATTCTCTGCATATTCGTGGATGTAGGCAAATTTGTCAAATCATGTAAATTTGTGTGTCGCTCTGATGTTTTTCTGCATACAATTTTACGCGTTCCTTTTTTTTACTTTATTGCTTTCGTTTTTCACAATAACTGGTAGCAGAGATTGGGTTCGAATCTAAGGAAGAACGATGGGCGGAGAAGAAGTGATAACATGGGAGATTTTGTTTATTGGAGGATGCAGATAAGGACTACCTTTATGAGAAAAAACTTCATTTTCTGTTACTGGGAAAGCGACTAGAAAAGATGGACGAGGCGGAATGAAATTTTTTGGATCGACAGGTTCTGGGGGTTATACGATTAACCCTGTCGAAATCGGTCATCCACAACGTCATCAAGGAGAAGATTACTGCATATCTCATGACGGCTTTATCAGACATGTATGAAAAGCCATCGGCGAATAACAAGGTGCATCTTATGAAAAAATTATTCAACTTGAAGATCGTGTCTGTTGCTCAACACCTAAATGATTTCACACTATCACAAATCAGTTGTCATCTGTTGAAATTGATTTTGATAATCAGATACGTGCGCTGATATTGTTGGCTTCATTGTCAAATAGATGGGAAGCTATGGAGATGGTAGTTAGTAGTTCTGCAGGTAAATCTAAGCTGAAATATTATGATATTTGTGATTTTATTTTGAGTGAGGAGGTGCGCATGAAGGATTTTGATGAGACCTCGTGTTCAAGTTTGGCGCTGAATGTTAATTCCAAAGGGAGATCAACAGAGGGAGATCACAAGCCAGGAACTCAAACAGAGGAAAATCAAAATCAAAGTCTGGTCAGCAGACAACCTGCTGGAATTGTGGCAAGGCTGGCCACATAAAAAATAACTGCAGGAATCCTAAGAAGAATATGATAGCGCTAATGTTGTAACTGAAGAAATACATGATGCACTATTTCTGGCAGTTCACAGTTCTGTTGATGACTGGATATTAAATTTAGGGGCTTTCTTCCATACATCTTTCCGTCGGGAGTTAATGCGAAATTATGTTGCTGATAACTTTGGGAAGGTATATCTGGCTGATAGAAAAGCTCTTGACGTAGTGGGGATGAGAGACGTTGATATTGCACTCCCTAACAAGAGCAAATGGACTTTGCAAAATGCTAGACACGTTCCTAAGTTGAAGAAAAACCTCATCTCCATTGGGCAGCTCAATAATGGTGGTCATTCGGTAGTGTTCTCAGATACCACCTAGAAGGTTACCAAAAGAGCATTAACTCGAGGTAAGAAAACTGACACACTATATATAACTACAGGTTTATTCAGACGATGACACATGAGTCAGAGATGCATTATGGGGAAGCAGAAGAAGTTTAATTTCCTGAAAAGTTGTAGAGCGCCAAAAGCAGGAAAATCGGACCTTGTACAGACAAATGGTAGAGAACCACAGAGTTATGAAGAAATCTTGCAATATGAGAATTCGAGCAAGTGGGAGTTGACCAAGAAAGAGGAGACGAATTCTCTGTCAGGAAATCAAACTTGGGATCTGACAGAACTTCCACCAAGGAAGAATGCATTGTACAATAAATGGGTGTACCGGGTGAAGACTGTGTTGGGTGACAGTAAGAGGTACAAGGTTGAACTTGTTGAAAAGGGCTTTCAGCAGGGACAGTATATTGCTCATGCAGTGGGAGTTATAAGCAGATACAAGAGTAACACAGGAAAGACCTTGGTGGTACAAGGCTACGTTGACGGTGATATACGCTGAAGTTGTGCTCAACTTCAACTGGTCTTCTGACATAAAGACAGGGGTTTTGAGTTGCAGAGGTGGAAGATATCATGCTTAAGAAAAAGATCGGTACAGCTAATAGATGATACAACCAGTAGGTGATGCAGTCAATGTCTCAGTCTCCAAGTGGGAGAATTTTAGGGTAATGTAGAGACACGTTCCACCGAAATTTAATTAGCTTCCTAATTAAGAATCTCACCTACCACCCACCCCCCTCCCACCTACCGCTCTCATGGTTTCTATAAATAGCCTCTTTTGGCTTAAAGAAGATGTTAAGTCAAGCAATGTCAAGCCAAGTCCTCTTGAGAGCTAAGAGAAAGAGAGGAAGAGAGAGAATAAAATAAAGATTTTCTTGTATTTGTCGAGGCACTTGACAGTGTAATTCCTCGAAAAAATAAAATCCTCTGCAGCTCTGTAGACGTAGGCAAATTTGTCGAACCACATAAATCTATTTGTCGCTCTGTTGTTTTTTTGCGTGCAATTTTACTCGTTCCATTTTTTGCTTCATTACCATTGTTTTTCACAACAAGATGTAGAGACCACTTCTATAAGGTTAGCAAGAGCAGGCATGACAATTTCGATATCCCAAGAAAAGTCACTTGATTCCAATCATAATGGAAAAATAAATTGATGATGGAAGAGAGCAAATATTGTGGAAGCATGAAAGGTTTGAATATTTAAATGCCCGTCTTATGCTTGAATGTTTGATATCCTCATATGTAGATGAGCCTTAAAATAATTAGAGAAATTGTGCCCAAAGATTTTATATAAAATGAGAAGGAACAAGGTTTACTTGTTAATTTGCAACAAATATATATATATAT